TCTCTCCAGCTCTCTGTCTGTCTGTCTCTCTCTCTCCTGGTCCAGATGCTCAGAGCAAACCTTTCAGGAGGCGGCACACAGTCCTGGAGACCCTGCTCAGCTGGGAGCTCCCCCAGGCCTGTCCGAGCCCCCGCCATGGCCACCCCCTCTGTGGCCACAAGGCACATTTCTATCCTGCAGATGGCGGTCGGCTGCACGGCTCATTATTTCTCTCTGAGCAAATGCAATCCCGCCAGTTACGTGTCCGTCTGTCTGTAAGCGCACGCCCTGGTAGCACTGACCGCCTCCTACCTCCTCCTGCTTCCGAGTTTCTCAGCGTGTTCCTGACATTTGAAAACGTGGTGAGCCCCAAGCTCTTAACCTATTGTCTCCTGACTTCAGCACTTCTCAGACTTTCCTCGTGTCTGGCCGTATGGCCGGGGCTCCACAGCCGGGCTGACGCCCCACACTCACCACTGCTTGTGGTCCGCGTCACAGTGGCAGAAGTACTGAGGGTCCGTGCAGTTGCGCTCGATGCCACATGCGCACTTCTGGATGCCAGGGCCGGAGCCCCCCCAGTAGTAGTGCTTCTCGTTGCCTTTGCCGACCCACCAGGTGTAAGGGCTTCCGTCTGCAAGAAAGGAAGGAACCTTAAGTGCACGCCGCTCCGTGAACGAAGGCAGCCTGAGAAAGCTGGGCGCTGTGCGATTCCACCTCCATGGCATCCTGGAAAAGGCAGAAGTGCAACGACAGTGGAAAGGTCAGCGGTCGACAGGGGTCAGGCGTTCAGGGAGGGGTGAACAGATGGAGCACAGCACAGGGCATTTTTAGGGCAGTGAGGCTATTCTGCAGGATACTGTAACTGTGGATACATGATGTTAAACATTTGTCAAAACCCACAGGGCGGTACAGCACAGAGGGACCCCTAATGTGGACTGTGGCTTTCAGTTAATAATAGTGTATCCGTAACGGTGCATCAGGGCAACAAGCGGACCACAGGAATGCTGCCGTTAGTAACAGCAAAGACAGCAGGCGGGGAGACCGCGTGTCTGGCGCTCACTGACCTGCTCGAGTTTTCTGTCAACCTAACGCTGCTCTAAAAAGTAAAGAAAATTCCGGGTAAATGGTAAACTCCAGCTTTCTCACCAGGATGTTTACCTTCTCCTTGGGAGAAACTTTTACAGGCACACGTCTGTAATTCAGCAAGTCGCCAGTAATCAGCCGCCGGGTGGGAAGCCCACAGTGAAGCCCGGACTGATGGTTGACACACAGCTGACTCACAGCTAGTCTACTTTCCTGCAAATGGATCGCCATGCAGACCGCAGAAAACTAGACCTAACCGTGGATTTCCATGGCTTCTGAGTAAAACCCGAAAAAAACTCCAAACCTGTTGCAGTCGAGTCAATTCTGACTCCTGGTGACCCTACAGGACAGAGTAGAACAGCCCCGTAGGGTTTCCAAAGCTGACATCTTTAGGGAAACAGACTGCCACGTCTTTCTCTCACAGAGCAGCTGGCAGGTTCGAACTGCCAACCTTTCAGTTAGCAGCTGGGCATGTAACTGCTGAGTAATCCTAATCGGTGCCATTCAGTACACTTTTTTTAATCAATTTGATAGTAATCTTTCAATTTTCCCAGCACAAACTGTGCCAAAATAATTTTTCTAATTTTTAGCAAATTTATATTTTTAAGCATAATAACATAGGTTTAGATGTTCAGTTTAAAAAATGTGTCTACTGCCAATGCTGTTGTTGTGAGGTGCCAATTCTGATTAATAGCGATCCCATGGGACAGAGTAGAACTGCCCCATAGGGTTTCTAAGGCTGAAATCTTTATGGAAGCAGACTGTCACATCTTTCTCCCTCAGAGCGGCTGGTAGGTTTGAACTACCAACCTTTTAGTTAGGAAATTGGTTAGAAACCAGGTAGGTCCAGAAGGGTTAAGCAATTCTACCAGTCACACGACAGGTCCGTCCAAAAGCTGGCAGTGTGGCCCCACGTCCCACAGCATGCGGCACCATCGGCTTCACACAAAACAAAAATGATTTGATTAGTTGACCTAACAGCCACTCCTTCCTTCATTCATTCGTTCACTCATCTGATCATCAGACATCCACGGAGGTCCCAGTCTGTGCCACCGTCTTCAGACACTCAGCGGAACAATGGAGGAGAAAGACGCAGACGGAGAACATGGCGCAGTAAGTATGGAGGACAGAGGACGGCAGGAAGGGCTGTCTCCCCCGTCTCCCTGTCTCTTCTCTGCTTTTATAAGGACAGCACTCAGAAGGACTCAGACTCATCCTACTCCAGCATGACCTCATGCCAACTGAAAACATCTTCAAAGAGCCTATTTCCAACCAGGGTCACATTCATGGGTACTAGGGGTTAGGACTTCAACATAGCTTTTTCAGGGACACAATTCAATCCATAGCAATGGGCTTGAGAAATCCCATATTTTTTTTGAAACTATAGAATCTGAGCCACTCAAAGAAATGTTTTGGTCATTTGGCTGTGAGCTGACCCAGATGTCTACTGGTTTCATCTCTGGCTGCCGTGGGGAGAGGCCATGTGGGCCCCCAGTGCTGACCTGCAAAGGTGTATGGGGGGTACTCTCGGCTGATCCCGGAAGTGCTGCGCATCCTCTGCTGGCCATCCTGCCCATTTACTATTGCACTGCATCTTTTCAAGTTGGTCTAATGCTAAACTGTCTTTCTCTCAAAGGTAATTCTGGTTGAAGTCATTGTTTCTGGAAACGAAGGGTGATCTAAACCTGTGGTGGGGAAAGAGGGCCCCGGTCAGACACCACAGGTCTGGGGGTAATGGGCGTCTGACAGGGGTTGCCTTTGTCCTGCTCGCACCTCAAACAGCTGACGAGAGGGTGTTTGTCTCAGAACTGAAGTTCGGTTTACGGTCGTTCCTTCCCATGAGCAGCGGACACAACGTCGCGCCCTGCATTTTCATCATGGACACTGATGGTGATTTGAACCAACAGCAGCAACAAGAAAGCTGGCCAATCCCAGCTGTGCCTCCAGTGGGTGCCCGGCAGCTTAGGTGAGCATGCTCAGTGTCAAAGTGTTTGGGGGGCGGGGTGTCCCCGTGGAGGCCCGGGCCCGGCATGGGACCCAGGCACGAACTAACCTCTATGCAGTCCTCCGTGTACGGTGGGGTGGACTATTTTCAGACCAGGATTGGACTCAAGGCAAAGATCCCAAGGACAGAGCACGCAGCGACCCAGTGGTGACCAGTAAGAGCAGCCTGGTGTCTTAGGCTCCTGGTGCTGTGGTAACACAAATACCACAAGTGTGTAGCTCAAAGAACAGACATTTATTTTATCAACTTTCTGCAAGCTGAAAGTCCAAAAAAAAAAAAAAATCCTCATAACTGGACCAGTAAGCGACATCATGATAAATGGAGAAAAGATTGAAGTTGCCAAGGATTTCATTTTACTTGGATCCACAATCAATGTCCATGGAAGCAGCAGTCAAGAAATCGAAGGACACACTGCATTGGGCAAATCTGCTGCAAAGACCTCTTTAAAGTGTGAAAAAGCCAAGATGTCACTTTGAGGACTAAGGTGGGCCTGACCCAAGCCATGGTGTTTTAATTGCCTCATATGCATGTGAAAGCTGTATAATGAATAAGGAAGACTGAAGAAAAATTGATGCTTTTGAATTACAGTGTTGGCGAAGAATGGACTGCCAGAAGAACGAACAGATCTGTCTTGGAAGAAGTACAGCCAGGATGCTCATTAGCAGTGAGGGTGGCAAGACCACGTCTCAGATACTTTGGACCTGTTATCAGGAGGGGCCAGTCCCTGGAGAAGGACATCATGCTTGGTAAAGCAGACGGTCAGCACAAAAGAGGAAGCCAGACTGACACAGTGGCTGCAACAATGGGCTCAAGCATAACAACGATCGTGAGGATGGCACAGGACCGGGCAGTGTTTTGTTCTGTTGTACGTGGGGTCGCTATGAGTCAGAATTGACTCGACATCACCTCCCCAGCTGTGTCTGTTCCATCCTTGTAGATAGCTCTCGGTGTGCTCTGGCTTCTGGCTCACAGATGATCCTTACATGGCATCCGTCTTCCCCATGTGTGTGTCTGTCTGTTCTGCTCTTTTTATAACTCAGGAGTGATTAGGTTTAGGACTCACCCTACACTGGTGTGGCCTCATTATCATAACAAAAAAAGCTCTATTGCCAAAGAGGATCACATCCGCAGGCACGAGGGCCAGGAATTCAGCACATATTTTGGGGAACACCATTCAGTCTGTAACGCTCAATGTTCTTGTTTCTTCCCCCGTCCCCCATCTTTTTCTCAGATCACAACCCTTTCGTCCTTGTATGGCTGATACTCCCAGGTGATGCAAACCTGCAGTGATCATGCCCTCCTTCTGGGAAGCCAGGTACGTGCAGCATACAACATTCTACCTCCCTGATCCCACACCTGCCAGGAATGGCAGGATATCAGTAAGAAAAACACATTCCAGGGAAAAAAGCAAACTGTACCCTTTGTTATAGCATTGGCTAATTTGGTTAAATCAATATAACTATAATAAATTATTAATTTAGTGTGAGTATTTTATATTCAGCAAGCGGAGAACGGTTCAGTTTGCTCTGAGCAAAGAATCGTCTTTTTCAGGTGCTATAATGATGAGCTGCTCCTTCGGGCCTTACAAATCATTGTTTACCTGCTAATTGGCTCCAGGGAAAAGTAGTTAAAGGAGATTAAAAAGGGAAGACTTTTTAAAAGACAAGACTAAGAAGTAGTAAGAAAAGAAATAAGTTAATTATCTGCTTCCAAGAGTTCAAGAAATTCTCTAACCTCAGAATGCGCAGATTTTCGTTAACTCTGTTAAGTGGGTGTAATCACCATAGCAAGATTAGCTAATGATGGACCGTGTTCTAAGTTAACAAGAAACTAAATTATCAAAGTGAAGCATGTTGTATTAAAACAGCCAGATCGGGGAGGAATGGAATATAATCAGAACGCTGTTTGCAGGCACTTCAGATCGAGCTGTAGCTGTGGTTTGGCTGGTGAAACTGGAGAAGTGAGAAAGAAAGCGGCTGCCTGCTTCTCGGAAGGTGAAGAAACAGCGGCCCTGTGGGCGTTTTCTCGGCAGAGTCCTTTCAGACGCGTGAGAACAAACGTGAGAGGCCTGTTGGTGACAACGGGCACAGACCTGGGGTTTCCAAACGTGCTCTGTGGAGCTTCCAGGCTGCAGAGTGGACCTAACGGGCCGCGTAAATGAATGTGGTCGGAGGTCTCGGTGACGGTGGATTAATTCCACCTTGTCCACGTCCCCAGGAAATGGAAAACAGGGCCACCAGGGTGTACGGGCGCCCAAGTGAAAACTTGAGGCACCTTTTTAGCTTGATGGAACCTGGGTTATTTATTCTGTTGAGAATATACGCAGCAAAACGTACACCAATTCCAGTTTCTGCATGTGCACTTCGGTGACACTGACGACATTCTCTGAGTTGTGCAACCACTCTCATCCCCTCTGAGTAGCTGATGGAACCTAGTTTTATTCTACCGGCCCCACCCCCTTACCGACACCTCTGCTGAAGAACCGCGGGGCTGGTTAGCCTGGAAATGGAGCAGATGTGACTGCAGCAGAGATGTGCTTCCCC